TATATATATATATATATATATATATATTATATATATATATATATATATATACTATATATATATATATATATATATATATATATATATATATATATATATATATATATATATATATATATATATATATATATATATATACATATATAGTTTTAAAACGAAAATGACTGGTCTTCTCGGTAGATAGATTTTTTCTAGGCTTAGAGCGATATCATCGTTATTTCGAGGGAGCTGGTAAACGAAAATACGAATATAGAGCCAACTACTCTGTTATTTCGGAAAACATGTTACCTACATCCTTGAATACTTAACACACATACTCGTACATATATGTACACACAACGTACACGATTATCATTCGAACATATACATACACCATGATTACATATACATTACAAATCGTTTACATGTGTGTTGACAAAATACACGTATGCATGCATGTATGTATACAAACACGTTCTCTCTTTTCCCCTACCCTCCTTTTTCCTCACGATCCTCGACGGCTCGACAACTCTTATGTGATTATTTAAAGACTTATTTTTTCTATAATGGTAACGATAATAACGATAATAAGTTAAAGAAAGCGTAGCGAAAGAAACGTTTTATTAAGGCGATAAATTCGGTAAATGCGCATCTTCAGCAAAGACTCACTCGTATGCAAAAAAAAAAAGCGAAAGCGAAATGGAAAAAAAAATTTAAAAAAAAAAAAAAAAAGAAATGGAAGTAAGCGTGCAACACTATTATTGAGAATAAATGAGATATGTATGAACGACGTATAAATAAAGAACATGAACGATGACATTAATATTCCTATTTATCACTCATATTATTGATTTTCGATATACAATTTCTTGGCAGTTATTCATAATTTTAGTTTTAAAAAATGAAGACACATTTTTTTTTTTTTTAATATAACACGAGGATACATATGTGTATGTATAAGTCATGAAGAGACTCGAATCGTTTAAATGCGTTGACATAATTATCAAATGCGCAGTATTTATCGCAGATGTATATGTACAAACAAAAAAACATATAGAAAAAGGTAAAGCAAAAGATCCCGAAATTAATTTCCAACCATTTGTTAATCATTTATGTACATATGTAGTTATAAAAAGTGAAACAAATATTCGTATTGTATCAGGAAACGACAGATGAGCGTCAACCCTTTTTTCTTTGCAACGAGACAGAAAATCTCTTCTTTATCGACGGCGAATTATCATTCGCTTTCGACCGATATTTGGAAATCGATCCAAACGACCCCGGTATAATCATTCGATAAAATCGCAAGCAAAAACATCCACTTTCCATATCTTTGTTTTTTTTGTTACGTTCGGAATTTCTATTTTTGGATTTCTCGTGCATATTTTCGTTTGATCGTTTCGGAACGATGACCAATGAACTGTTATGAAACTTTACACGATTCATCTTTTTCTGCACCAAAATGTTTTGCTTTTTCTTCGCGCTCTCCGAGACAAACGGCCTGGCGGAAGTTTGCGGTGTTACTTGCGTGCTTTTAACAAAGAACACCGAATAAGGATTCTTCGCTTTCGTTCCATCCATTTTTTTCGACGTTTCCTCGTTCTTCCTTTGTTCCTCGCGATTAGAATTGGAATCTTTGAGATCTTGAACCCACAAATCATCCCGATCGTAGCGTCTACAAGGATTTTCAATGCATGTTGACACGTTTTTAGAACATTCACCCATAAACGAATGATGATCGTCGCGAATCACGGATGATTTTTCGTCCGGAGAATCCGGATTAGCCTCAGGTTTACACAATTTCTCCTCCATACTCTCGTATATCTTGAACTCCTGCAACGAGGACAATTCCGAGCAACTTTCCATCGAGCTCTCCCTTTCTTCCCGATAATCCCGATTCTTATAGATAATGCTGGTCGTTTTCCCGTCCGCCTCCTCCTCCTCGCATTTCTTTTGCTTTTTCCACCTAGCCGAAAATTTCTTCACCAATCCCTTCATTCCGGACGATTTACCGTAACGATTCTCCAACTCGGTCTGCGCCACGTAACTGATTATTCCGTAGGCGAATCCTCGAATCCAGAGCCTGCCAATCTGGTTATGCTTGGATGCATGTCCAGTGTATAGCCTTTGTTCTCCGCGTTCTCGTCCAGATTGCCGAGTCGGCCGGAGACCTTGAACTTCATCGAGGCGATGCTTGTTTTTTCCGAAATCGTGAAAGGGAATCTGTCCTGGCTCTTCTTCTTGAAACGTGGCGACTCTTTCGACTTGTCGTGGCGCAGTTTAGGCGTCGAGGAGGAACACGAGAGAATGAATTGTGGCATCTCGCAAAATTTGTCGGTCGGGAAGAACGTGGCGGTGTCCGATTGGATAATTTTCGTCTGTTCCAAATTCATGGTTCTCCGGAATTGTTCGGCTGCCAATCTTTCCAAAGAAAATCGTTGCGGCTTGTAATTCTCCCTCTCGATACTTATCTCCGTTTTGATCACCTCCTCGTCGTCCGGCGAGGCGTTCAACGATTCGTATTTCAATTTATCCGGATCCTCCATACTGTGTATCTCGTGGCCACCGTCCCCGATCTGATTCTCGAACAAATTAGGCGGCTTCCTATTCTCGACTATCTTCTCGAATATTTCCCCCTCGTAAACGTTCACATGCTTGCTTCGACGACTCGTCGACGAGTCTGAAGGAGCGATTCTCGATGAAATAAAATTACAAGATTCCTCGTACATTTCGATCCCTTTAACGGATTTTTGAACACCGTAATCACGCGACGACGAACTATCCGAGTCGTCGTTCGAAGAAATAACGTTTTCCACGCATTTCGATTTGCCTTCCTTCTCAGATTTCCTCGAGTTCTCCGCGGAATCGGTCGATCTAAACCCGTCACTCCTCATCGCGCGATTAACGGCAGATTTCACGAAACCACTCTGATCCCCTTCTTTTCCCTCCTTATTTTCCTTGTTCACCTCGCACGGCAACGATAAACAAGTTTTGGATGGAACAACTTCTAACGTCAAACTCGATTTTTCCACATTTTCCAATCTCCCCTTCTCCTTTTCGCCTTTCGCATAATTCGAATCAGAATATTTCTCTTGCTCCATCGTGTCCATCGTGTTCGCGCATCTATACGAAACCTCGCCACTGTTCCTAACATCCTCGTAACTTTTCGCGTACGGAGAGCTGTCGCGCGATTTGCACGTCTCGTTGCTCCTCTCGGACTCGTATCGATAAGCTTCGGGCGACGACGTGTTACTGCCGAACGTTTGTCTGCTCGAATCGTTCAAATTTGTTCTCTGGCTGAACGTTCGTTTCTCGCTCTCGCTATATTTGCTCGTTAACGACATTCTACTTCTGTCCGTGGGAATTTTCACGGGTATCTTGGATCTCAAGCTGAGGAACGACGATCTG